GGCGCCCTATTTATTTATTTTTTAAAGATTTTTGTTTATTTATTGAGAGAGAGAATGGTAGAGAGAGAGCATGAGAGGGAAGAAGGTCAGAGGGAGAGGCAGACTCCTTGCTGAGCAGGGAGCCCGACGCGGGACTCGATCCCGGGACTCCAGGATCATGACCTGAGCCGAAGGCAGTCGCTTAACCGACTGAGCCACCCAGGCGCCCAGAAATAAATAAAGTCTTAAAAAAAAAAACCCAAAAAAACCTTCACAACAACCCAATAGAGTATATACTCAATCTCCACTTAACAAACGTTGAAACTGAGGCTCAGAGAGGCTAAGTAATTTGTCCTAAGTCACACAACTAGTAGATGTAAGAACTGGGATTCAAATTCCTGTCTCTCTGATGTTGAACCACAAAACGCTCTTCTGGAAGCATATGTGTCCAGGCAAGCTGCCTGGGAGGCCTCGTGTCTATGGTAACCTCAGCCTCGGTGCAGCTAACTTTGTAGACTTAGTAGGGAACATTGAGACTGCCTAGGCTGCAAGAGCTAGTGTTCAGTCCTCCTGCCCCGTTTTGTGTCCTACAGATTTAAGATCTCCAAAGTCATTGTGGTGGGGGATCTGTCAGTGGGGAAGACTTGTCTCATTAATAGGTAAGAAGGTGCTCTAGTTGAGCTGGTTTGGGCTGGGCAGGGTTTGGCCAGACCTAGCCACGTGGGCTGGGCTCAGGGCCAGAGCATCTCGTGCTCCCTCAGGTTCTGCAAAGATACTTTTGATAAGAACTACAAGGCCACCATTGGAGTGGACTTTGAGATGGAGCGGTTTGAGGTGCTGGGCGTCCCCTTCAGTCTGCAGCTGTGAGTGCCTCCTCCACACCTCCCAGCCCTTCCTTCCCCCAGCACCTGAATCCCACCTCACGCCCCCCTCCCACATACCTGTGTTTGTACCCCCTCCTTCCTCCCAGCTGGGATACCGCTGGACAGGAGAGGTTCAAGTGCATTGCATCAACCTATTACCGAGGAGCTCAAGGTAAGGGCCTCAGTGAAGTGGGGCAGGTGGGTGTTCCTGGTCTCTAATCTAGAGCTGGGGGCATTTGGGAAATGAACTGGTAATGTCAGTTGTCTCTGCCGCTTTTCCAGCCATCATCATTGTCTTCAACCTGAATGATGTGGCCTCCTTGGAACATACCAAGTATGTGGGGATGCTGAGCTACAATGGGGGCTCCAGGAGGAGGGGGTTCAGAAAAGAGGGGTGGTCAGGAGCATTAGTAGAGAAGGAAAAGAATGCATCGAGGACCAGGGAGAGTGTGATGGGCATATGAGTGCCACCGGGAGAAGCCTCTCCAGCTCACTCATCCTTGACTGTCTACCCTCTGTGGCAGACAATGGCTCGCTGATGCGCTCAAGGAGAATGACCCGTCCAGTGTGCTTCTCTTTCTTGTGGGTTCCAAGAAGGACTTGAGTGTGAGTATGTCAGTAGGGGAGGAGCGGCTTCCAGCCTGGTCGGGGGACCCCGCCCCCCCCCCGCCACCTGACTCTGACCTTCCCTCAGACTCCTGCTCAGTATGTGCTGATGGAGAAAGATGCACTCAAGGTGGCCCAAGAGATGAAGGCTGAGTACTGGGCCGTCTCCTCTCTCACTGGTGAGTCAGAGGCTTCAGGTCTTCTGCTGTGGCGCTCCTGTCCACCTGGCCTCTCATTCCTGCCCTTTCAACTGTGCCTAGTGACTCGAGGCCTGGAACGGCCCCTGAGCACCCATCTGCCCCATGCATCAGGTGAAAATGTCCGGGAATTCTTCTTCCGCGTGGCGGCGCTGACCTTTGAAGCCAACGTGCTGGCTGAGCTGGAGAAATCGGGGGCCCGGCGCATTGGGGATGTTGTCCGTGAGTGCCTGCCTGGATGGGGGTGGCAGAGAGCGCGGGGACCCTCTGATCCCCGCTTCACATATTTCCCGGCCTTCTTCAGGCATCCATAGTGAGGACAGCAACCTCTACCTAACTGCCAGCAAGAAGAAGCCCATGTGCTGCCCGTGAGCGGTAAGGGGACTGTCCAGAGCCTGCCCAGCCCTGGTGCACTGTGCCACCTTGACTGCCCTAGAGCTCGACCCTGGACATTTGCACTGATTGTTTTTCCAGACCAAAGAGCTGCCCCTTGGTGGCAGTACCCCTGGAGGGGTAGCGGGGACCATGCTAGTCGCTCCCTTCCCCGGGCACCGTGCCAAAGACTAGATGTTTCCCCCCTCCTTTGGGGGGCTCTCCAGGGTGCCCAGCAGTGGAGAGGTAATCCCTGCTGCTTTTGCTTAGCCTGCTGGGCCCTTTTGACTATGAGGATGCTTAATGATCCCAGCCTCACACTGTGCCTTATGCATTAAAATCTCTGTTATTAGCAGTTTGGGGACTGGAGTCCTTTGTTGGGGATGAGGGAGGCGGAATGGGCAGGGCTGGATGGCTATCTTGGGACTGGAGCTTCCTGCTGGAGTCTGGCCATCCCTGGCCCCTGGGCAGGATCTAGACAGGCTAGGAGCTCAGGAACCACATTTTGGAGGGCTGTACTGGACTCTAAGTGGTTGGCTTTCAGAGCTCTTTCCTTTGGTTCCTCATCCCCAACTGTGTCCCCCCTACTTGGTGCTTATTCCCAAATTTCTACCACTGGATAATTGTTGTCTTTTTTTCACCCCCTTCCTGCTTTCCCTTTAAAAAAATACTTCTCCGAGGAGAACACAGTAAGAAGTGATTGAGTTTTGGATGCTCTTTGGGTTGACCAGAAGGCCCAGGGCGGGTATGGGTTTGGCTCTTACTCAGAAGATATGTTACCTAGGGACGCCTGGGTGGCTCAGTTGGTTAAGCATCTGCCTTCGGTTCAGGTCATGATCCCAGGGTCCTGGAATCGAGTCCTGAATCGGGCTCCTTGCTTGGTGGGGAGCCTGCTTCTCCCTCTGCCTGCCGCTCCCCCTGCTTGTGCTTGCTTGCTTGCTCTCTCTCTCTCTGACAAATAAATAAAGTCTTAAAGAAAAAAAGATGTGCTATCTAATATCTATTTAACATTATTAGTGATATAAGCATAAATTTATGAGTAGTGTCTTTTTACATTTTAAAACCTGATTAACTAAAACAAACAAACAGCATAGGGGCACATGGCTGGCTCACTAGGTAGAGCATGTGACTCTTGATCTCACGATCATGAGTTCAAACCCCATGTTAGGTAGGCCTAGAGCTTACTTCAAAAAAGAAAAAAAGAAAAAGAAGAGAAAAAACCAGCATACCTTTTTCCCTCTTCAAAAAGAAAAAGACATGCTCTGAGTCAGGAGGTCCCCCATTTGAGTCGTCACTGTTCATCTTCAATCACTTCTCACTGTGTTCTCCTCAGAGAAGTTTTATTTATTTATTTTCAAAATTTATCCATTTATTTTAGAGAGAGTGAGTGCACATGCACAGGCAGTTAGAGGGGCAGAGGGAGAGGGAGAAGCAGACTCCCCACTGAGCAGGGAGCCCAGCTGGGGCTCCATTGCAGGACCCTGAGATCATGACCTGAGCTGAAATCAAGGGTCAGACGCTCAACCAAATGAGCCACCCAGGCGCCCCAAAGAGAAGTATTTTTTAAAGCGAAGGCAGGAAGGGGGTGAAAAAAAAGAAAATTATCCAGTGGTAAAAAATTGGGAATAAGCACCAAGTGGGACACAGTTAGGGATAAGGAACTAAAGGAAAGAGCTCTCAGACTCCCGGGCAAATCACTTATCCTCTGTGCCTCAGTTTCCTCATCTGTAAAATCAGGCTGATAATACTACTGATGAGGTTTCATGGATGAAATAAGGTAAAACACTAACACACACTGGAAGAGCTCAAAAACCTTAACTATTGGGTGCCTGGGTGGCTCAGTTGGTTGGGTGACTGCCTTCGGCTCGGGTCATGGTCCTGGAGTCCCGGGATCGAGTCCCGCATCGGGCTCCCTGCTGGGCGGGGAGTCTGCTTCTCCCTCTGACCCTCCCCCCTCTCATGCTCTCTCTATCTCATTCTCTCTCTCAAATAAATAAATAAAATATTAAAACAAAACAAAACAAAAAAAACCCTAAACTTTTAAAACTGATTGGAGGGAAGAGTGGCGAAGAACCTGGCTCCCTGTCGACATCTGACCCAGAGTCAGATTGGCTGGAAGTATCTCAGACATCTGGACCAACAATGGTGGGACACCTGTGGCCTCGGGTGTCATCCTGAGAGGCCATGGAGGGTCAAGATTAGAACACAGACCCGGGCTCCCAGTCCGCAAGTGCTCTGTCCACATACCTGGTAACCATTCTCGCCGAACCACTCTGTCCTGGAAGGGCTGGCTTTTCTGCATACTCCTCTCTCCTGGCTTCAACTTTCCTGCTGTTCTTAGAGTTGTCTGGAGCTAAGGTGAGAAGGGACGTCTGGGTAGTGGCCCTATCTGCTCAGCCTACGGGGCCTGGAGGAAGGTAAAGGCTGGGGCCATGCAGACAGCAGCAGCTGCACGAGAGGCCCTGGATGACTGGAGAAAACACTTTAAACATCATCCTTTCCTCTTTTTTCCATCTGTTGAAGCATATCCTGGCTTAGGAGCCTAGTGCCAAGAGGATTTGAGGGGAGTGATGTATGGAGTGTGGGTGGTACGGCTCTAACACTTTTTCACACTCCCTGGGATTGTTTTTTCCATGCCTCTTCCCTCACAGGACTGTGCTCCTCACCCCTCTTCTTGTGCAGAGCCTGTAACTCAGAGTGTGTGTGTGTGTGTGTGTGTGTGAGAGAGAGAGAGAGAGAGAGAGAGAGAGAGAGAGAGAAACCTGCACCACAGAGCTGCTGTGGAATGTTTGTGCTGCATCGGGTGTGGGGATCAGGGGTGTGGTTTGGTTTTCTGGGTGATATCGGCAAGGGGCATGTTCATGTGTGCATATCGCAGTAGTCCGTGTGTGAGGAGATTTTTTATGTATGCAACGTGTGTAATCGATGCGCGTGCAGTGTATATGCTGTATTTAAGGGTGTGAGGGGTGTGTGTAGTACGTTACTATGAATGCCGCGGCCCTGCTCCGCGTCACAGGCAAGCCTATGGAGACACGTGCGGTTGCGTGAATGAAATAAGATAAAGCACTAACATACATAGGAAGAGCTCAGAAACCTTAATGATTTTAATAACTGTTTGGGGGAACAGTAACCGAGACCCTGGCTCTATGTTGCCATCTTTATTGGGCAGTATTGTCTCTGGGACAGGGTACCTGCGGGGGCTAGGAGGGAACGCGGGAAGGGGGCCTTGGGGGTGGGCGCCACGAGGGGCTGGGAGCCGACACCAAGTCCTCATCTTGAGAACTGGGCCTTGGGCTCCTGTGGAGGGGCCTGAGGGCAGAAAGAGAGAACGCGCGCGAACGCGAGCGAGCCAGACAGGGCCCCGCTCCAGAGCGAGAGGGAGCTCGGAAAAGCCGGGTCGGCTGCGGGGAGGCGGGCGGGGCTCCAGCGCAGCCGCTGGGTTCCGAAGGCTTGGGAGGGGCTGGATTGCGGCGGAAGTTTGAGGTTGAGAGAATGGCTGGGGCGGGGCTAAGAACGGGGTAGGGGCGGGGCTAAGGTCTGGGGGTAGGACTAAGAGCTGGGAGTAGGTCTGGAGAGGAACTAGGGATGGGACTGAGGGCTGGGCCTGAGCGGCCGAGCTAAGGTTTAGGCCTGAGATAAAGAGGTGGTACTAAGGTTAAAGGTGGGACAAAGAGGGGCCTGGAAGGAGCTGGGAGGCCCCGGATGAAGAGCGCGGCTGAAGCTTAGATTTGGGCTAAGACAACGCAGAGCCAGGGGAAGGTGCAGGGAGGGATTGGGCAAGCATGAGGCGAAGTTAAAGGCTGGATTGGGGCGAAGCTGAGATTGGGGTTTACGGTTGGCTCGACCAAGCTGAGGTTCAGGTTTGGACTAATGCGAGGAAGAGTCTTGTAGAGACGAGAACTGGGCTGAGAGCGATGTGGGTCAGGACGACACTGAGGATTGAAAGGTGGACTAAGGAAAAGACTGAGGACAATGCCAGCATCTGGGATGAGAGCAGCACTGGTAAAGAGGGGGCGGGGCAGGAGTTTGGGGGTGGGTTTCGATCTTGGGGCGTGGCACCCAAGGAGGGTTTAGAACTGGGACGAGCCAGGCGAAGGAGGCGGGGCCAGGGGGCTGGACTGGGGCGGAGTTAGGGCCTGGGGGCGGGCTCACGCCGAGCCGTGGACCAATGACTGAGGACTGGGGTCCTGAGGCCCTGGAGAGTGCCTGCGGGTCCGGCGGAGCCAGTCCGGCTGGAGCCGGAGCTGCCAATCCCTAGTTTGTAGGGCTGGAAGGCGTTGCCGTGTTGCCTCCGGAGCCCCGGCCGTCGCCTAAGAAATGCGGGGCCTGGCTGGAGCGCCTGGTCCAGCACCCACCCAGTCGCTAGGCTGGGGAGGGCGGTTCCACTGACTCTGAGGGGAGGAAGGAGTCTGGAGGTTCCACGCGTGACATCACAATCACCGCCATGTGTGGGCGGGGCGAGAGCGGCATTTCCCAGGAGACGCGTGCACACTGCACTGCCTTGCTTCCCCCTTCTCCCTACTTCCCTTCCTCTCTCCCTTTTCCCTCCCTTCCTCCCCTATTCATCTGCTTTGGTGCCCAACCTGGAAGCCCGCCACCTGTGCCACAAGGGCGGGGGGAGCTCCTCAGCCCGCAGGACTGGGAGCATTCTGTACAAATGAGCATCACCTGTGAGTTTTGAGTTAGGGCCCTGCGCCTCGTTGAATGCCCCTCCAAGAAAAAGACCACCAGCCTCCCTCTTCTTTTCAAGCTGTCACTCTCCTCATTTCATTATCAAGTCCTCCTGTGTCCAGCCACAATTACTTCGGCTGCAGGAGCGCTGCACTGCTGTTCCAGTAGGAGCTCTCCTTCTGCCTGTGAAACTAGAGAGCGGATTACCTGCCTCAGATCTGAGGAGAGTTACTAAACCCCACCCCTTGGCAAACAGAGTTAACGATTGTTAGGGCTTCTTGGGGGTTTGGGAGGAGTTAATCAGCTGACTCTCTACAAGCCGCCTTCACGGTGACTCCGGAGAGAGCAACAACAGTGGAGTCGGATAAAGTAGAGTTTGAATCCTGACCCTCAGGGTCCAGGCTGGATCTGGGAGGTTGTGAAGTCAGGATTGAGTCAAACCAGAGGATGAAGAATTGGCTGTGTTGGAGCTAAAAAGCAGGTGCAGTAGGGAAGTGACAGCAGGTTGGGTTTTGGATAGGAAGCCCAAGTAGATAGGGCTGAAAGAGCATGGGAACAGCTCATACAGAGACAGGAAGATTGGGTTTGACTCCCACCTCTACCATCTATTAACTTGTGTGTCTTCTTTTTTTTTTTTT